CCAGGGTGTAAGTAGATTTTCTACTGAGGTTGAGTCACAGCCCTACAGTGGGTTGCAAGGCATGGCACACTCATGTAGAGAAGTGACTCATGACCGGCCAACTGCATAGATATGTGATGGGGCTGGGCTAAGACAAAGCATGTATACATGCTCCTGGTTGAATCACAACACTAGAGCTTTTGTCCAGATTTGGAAACATTAGGGAGAATTTGCAGCACCTTGCACAGGTGTGAGTTGCTGGTATGATAGCAGAAGGATGGGTGGCAGGTGCATCCAGCAGGAACTCATGTCTCTATTGAATCAAGTCAAACAAAAATTTGTTGAAAGAACAAAATGAGACCTAGATTACTCGAGAAGGCACATAACATGATCACTTTTAGCAGTGAAATCTGCAAATTACGGTGTCAGTTCTAGTGTTTTCCAGCTAGTGGCAATCTCAACAGACTTCTGCATGTGTATGTAGTACATGTGTTGGCTTATTCAAAAGTATGATGTATAATGTAATAAAAATTCAAGAGAACAATATTGTACAAAACAAGAACTGTCGAGGCTACCTACTAAAAAGATAGTACCAGTAAAACAAGAATATTTAGTTAATGAATGGTCAAAACCAGACAAAATGACCATTAGTTAGCAAACAACTTTGTCACTCTCTTCTGCATTCCTTTTTCAGCTCAGATTGTGCTGCCTCTCTCTGGAGAAAGCTGTCAAACAACATGTTTACAGCAAGTTTTCTGCAAACACTAAACATTTTTGCAAAACGAATTTGTCACAGGGTAGGAAGACAGGCTCCATTCACGATCAGTAAACACTTCAAATTTAAGAGGAGAGAAACAGAGCTGGTGGCCAATGTTCATGAGAAAGAAATACTGCAAGTACACTTAGCAGTATCTCTGGATTTGTTTTGTTCACTGCTGTCATTGATGACAGAGGAAAAGAAGTGACAAAGTGTGTGTATGATCCTATTTCAAATCACACAGCAGAACAGCCGACAGAACTGAACAATGCGCAGTAATAGAGTGGAGGTGGAATAATCCTAATGATCTGTAACAGAACAATTAATCACTACCACTTTGGAAATATCTTTTGAAATCACTGGGTGGTACTCAGCAGTTTTCAAAAAGGCAAGTGAGATGCAGGAAATTATTAGGACTGAGAACAAAACAGAAAACATCGTTATGTTCTTGTATATACTTTACCCACCCACTGAATAATGCTAGCAATTCCAGTAATTCCATCTCAAAAAAGAAAAAGGAATGATGTGCAAAAATTATACGGAACAACAAGAAGGATCAGCACTTGGGAAGGCATTCATCTTGCAAGAGATTAACTAAAACTGGAAAATAAAATGAATGGTGGGAGAGCTGTAGTCATGAACATGATGGAGAAAGGTGAAGATGGAATAGTTTCCTAGTCATGGTATATGAAATCGGAAGCATTTCATGAGTTCTCAGTAAGAAAAGCAAAAATCAGCAAAATTAATTATTTTTCCACATCATTCCAGCAATAATTGCCATAGAATTATTAAGCAATAATTGCCATAGAATAACATGAAATCAAAAGCTTGAGTTTAAGAAATTAGACAAATTCACAGACAAATGTCCATTTCTGACTCTGAAATGTGATAATTAGGGTGTAACATTCACCTCAGCAGTTCCTTAACCTAATCCAGTAAGTACCAGGAGCCAAGAGAGAAACCAGGGGATCAAATGATATTTATTGTATTTTTTTGCCAAACTTCTGCTCCTGGCCACTTCTCTAGGCACAATACTGGATTAAACTGATTGCTTGTTCAGATCCAGCATATCTGCTTTGGTGTTCACAAGCTATGCTTTAAATCTTGTGTTGTGTATTTCCTTGTTTTGGCTGCTTTAATGTGAAATTGTGAATCTGTGAAAACAAACTGCAGTGAGATGCCAACGAAGATCAAATTAGAATAGTCTGTTTTAAGGCAGAATCTCATGACCTTTGAGGACCATTCTCAGAAACGCAGAAAGGGGAATCTGAATCATTAATCCAGTGATAACATAAGCCAGTGATATGAAATATGCATGAGCAGTATCTCCACGTCTGTGTGCTTGCAAAGGACTACTTCACTCTTTTCTTGTTGTTTGTTTGCATGTTTGTTTTTAAATATAATTCTGTGGGAACAAAGCAAGAAAAAATCTCCATCTCCATCATTTTCACATTTCCTGCTCTCTGCTGCTGCCAGTGTAAAAGCATACTCAGTCACTTGCCCTTATGCTGTTCAGCTCATTTACTTTCCTTGGCAAATCACTGTCACCTTGATTGTTATGATAACATATGCTTTAGATCAATTTACCTCATATGCTTTAGACCAATTTACCTATAATTCTTTTAACATCACATGACAATGAAGAGCCATGAATAAAGTAGCGAAAGCATACCAAGTTTTGGTAGACTCCTGGGGTCTTCTTTAGAGCCAACAGTCCAGCTTACATTGTTTATTTTCAAAAGACAGAATTAAAATAATAATAATAATAATTTTTTACTTTCAGAGTTAAAAGGATTAAGAGAAAATAAGGAATTACATTTCTCTTTTGGTCTCACTCAGATGTAGAGTTGATATACTTCTAATAAGTCAGAGTCTATGATTCAAAAGAATTCTTCTTAGAGGAGAATTTCTAACACGGATTTCACAATAATAATACCTTTGGTATGAAATGTCTGAAACTATTGCCTGATTAAACATAAAACATTCCATACTAACCATTACATTACTCAGTGCAAAGGCCTATGTTATTTGTGTATACATAAAGCTGTTCTGATGACTATGTTTGTGATGCAACTGAAGGCATACTGTTAAAAATAAAAATGTGAAATGAACACTTTTATTTTTTACTGCTCTGTAACTGGAACATTTCCACACTTGCTAACGTGATAACTAGATTCTTTTTTAGCAGGATTCTCTTGGATCTTTCTTAAAAGTCTATCAATTTTATTGTAGTAGTTAATACTGTATTGGCCAACAAATCCAAGATCTTTAGAAAAGCAGTATAATATAATAATATAAGCACGTGTGCCAGGATACAATGGTCTCCTGATAGTACATTTTTCTGATAGCCTACTCCTTTCTTTTGATACAATTTGAACAGATTTACATTTCATTAATGTCTTTATTGAATTTGCAATATAGCCCTTAACTTGTTTACTTGTTTTCTCAATTATCAGTTGTTGTTTTTTTTAAATGACACCTTTGCTGATGCTAAATACAGCCCATCTGTTTGCGATTATGTATTCTGCAGCTACCACCTGTTGAATATATAGATCCTTGTGCAGAAAACATTTATTTTATTTTTATGTATTCTGTTACACGTGAATTGTGGTTTTTCTAATGAAAATATTTTAATAAAAATATCAAATTGCAAAATATCTCTTGAAAAAGGAAGGGGGCATGGTCTCCAGCTTTGCATCCCTGGAGTGATAAAAATGGATCTTCTTGGCATCACTTCCACTGTGCAAATCAATTTATCTTGCTGCAGTTTCTGCCAAATGAACCCTAACAGAGCTTGCCATGGCAGTTTAAAATGCCTTCAGCAATTTATCTTTGCACCAGGGATGAGAGAGCATAGCAAAGGACCAGAGCTAGCTGGCACAGCGTGTGTGCTGAGTGAGTATCTCGGTTTCCCCTTTATAGGCTGATGCATGAAATGTGAACTGTAGGAACTGTAGGAACTGGAGGCAGCCACTGACACCTGCATTGCTCTGGGGCAGCTATGCTTGATGAAGAGGTGGGAGAGGCAGCTGGGATGGCTGGGAAAGTAAATGAGAGTTTTCTGAAGAAATTTGGTGTGAACCTGGCCTCTGAGTAGCAGGATGATGGTGGTCTCATTGCTGTAGAGGAGTTCATTTTGCTCCCAGTTTTAATGTCAGTGTACTTGGGAGAAGATGCACCTATTTCTAGGAGCTAAAGAGGATGCAAGGAATTGGAAAAAGCAAATACAGAGATACAAGACAGAAAAAATAAAACTGCACTGTCTCTACAAGGTAGAGTGGAAGGACATGGCACTGAATGAGTGACCAGAATATGACATGACTTTATCACAACTAAATGATGTTATCCTAGCTCATTAGTTTTCTCCGGAAAGAGAACTGTTTTTCTGTGTTACGAGAGTTTGGCAACACCATGCTATCAATACAAGCTGGGGGACAAAAGGACAGAGCACAGCCTTTTTGAGGAGGACTTGGGGGTACTGGCGAATGGGAAGCTGGAAATGAGCCAGCAATGTGCCCTTGTGGCCCAGAAAGCCAACATGAAAAAGCCATGCAGCCAAGAGAGCTGCATCAAAAGAAGCGAGTCCAGCAGGGCAAGGGAGGTGATGGCGTCCCTCTATTCTGCACTGGTGAGGCCTCACCTGGAGTACTGCATCCAGAGGTGGAGTCCTCAGTACAGGAGAGACACAGACCTGTTGGAGCAGGTCCAGAGGAGGGCCACAAAAACGATCCAAGGGATGGAACACCTCGCCTGTGAGGATGGGCTGAGAGAGCTGAGGCTGTTCAGCTGTAGGAGAGAAGGTTCCAGGCAGAGCAAAGAGTGGCTTTTCCATATCTAAAAGGGGTCTATAAGAAAGTGGACAGACTTTAGCAGGAACCATCGTGATAGGACAAGGGAAATGGTTTCAAACTAAAACAGAGCAGATTTAGATTGGATATAAATTGGTTTTTTACAGTGAGGGTGGTGAGGCACTGGAACAGGTTGCCTAGTGGTGCAGTGGATGCCCCGTCCCTGCAGGCTGGATGGGGCTCTGAGCACTCTGATCGAGCTGTAGGTGTCCCTGTTCGTTATACGGGGATTGGACTAGATGGCCTTTAAAGGTCCCTTCCAACTCAAGCAATTCTATGATTCTATGATCTTTGCGGGCCCCTTCCAGCTCGGGGTATTCTATCATTCTGTGACTTGCAGGTGACACCATTCTGACTGTAACCAACGAGGCACGCAGCCTTAACGGCCGCCTTCTCGTCACACAGCACCGCACCGCCACCGCGCGCAGCCAGCCGGGCGCGCAGGGAGGGGAGGTCCTGACTCCCGCCGCTCCTCCTCTTCCCCGCTGCCGAGCGGGCGGGGCTCAGCCGCGTAACCACCGCCATCGCCCCGTCCTCAGTGCCGGGCGCTACTTGTGCCTGCGTCTTCCGGCAGTAGAGAGCGGCGGTGGGTGCGGGTGAGTGGCGGAGCCTGGCGGCGGTGGCGGGGTGGGCGTCGTATCGGTACCGGGCGCCCGGCCGAGGTGAACGCTCTGTGGGCGGGAGGTTGGCACGCGGAGCGCTGCGGTGAAGCCGGGCTGCTCCCAGCGGCGGCTGCGGGGCTGTGCGGGCAGCGGGCGGGCTCGGCCGCCGGGTCGCCATCTTCTTTAAACGTTAGTACCTAAATTGACAGAGTATACGCGGTACCGGGGAAAGAGAATCATTTTAAGCTGGTGTGAGTTCGGAGAGCTAAAAGTTACAGGGGAAAAAAGAAAAAAAAATTACCTTTAAAGGTGTTGAAAGTGCATCGTTAAAAAGCTGGCAGTGCTGTCACAGTGCCAGATTGTAAAATTGGCAGTTTGAGGAAATTTTGGTACGTGGGCCCTATTTTCCCTGGGGACTTAACGGCAGCATCTTTAGTGCTTCGGTTTGTCTGTGGGATTCACCTCCTTCCTGCTTTAACACAGTGAAAAAGTAGCTCTTGTATGAGGAAGAGTCTGTGATGCGTCCGGATGTTGATGAGTAACTCCGTGTACTCACCAGGTCTGCACAACAGAGTTGTTTCCTGGAACAATAGAGCTGGTCCCCATAGGCAGCTGCTGTCTGACAGGGGCTCAGGGACTGTCTGAGACCTTTTTGGACCCCGCTGGGCTCCAGCTGTTGTCTCTGCAGCCCTTATTCAAGTGGAAGCTGCTTTTGGTGCTTTGTTTTTTTCCATGTCCTTGCTTCGACGTCTGTGTTTGCTGGAAGAGTTGTACATTGTTGTGTTGATGCTTCTTTGTATAGTGTTGGTCCCCAGGTGCCTTCTGAGTGCCTGCAGTTGTTAGCCTGGCATGCTCTGGTAGCTGGTATACAAGTTGTGTGTTTGTGTTGAGAGGTGCTGAGGTGTTAGCACCTTTTGGTTCCCCCACACTTGTTGGGGGTGTAGAGGACCTTTATATCGTCAGGACTGAAATCTCAGATTATTCTCTAATCATAGAATCATAGGATTACTCAGGTTGGAAAAGACCTTAAAGATCATTAAGTCCAACCACAACCTAACCATACTATCCTAACTAACAACCCTCTGCTAAATCATGTCCCTGTGCACCACATCCAAATGGTTTTTAAACACATCGGGGATGGTGACTCAACCACCTCCTTGGGGAGCCTATTCCAGTGCTTAACAACCCTTTCTGTAAAGTTTTTCCTGATATCAAACCTAAACTTACCCTGGTGCAACTTGAGGCCGTTTCCCCTCGTCCTGTCACCAGTGAGAAGAGACCAACCCAGCTCTTGCTGCAATCACCTTTCAGGTATTGGAAGAGAGCAACAAGTTCTCTCCTCAGCCTCCTCTTCCCCAAACTAAAAAGCCCCAATTCCTTCAGTCTATCCTTAGAGGGTATATTCTCCAAGCCCTTCACAAGCCTTGTTGCCCCTCAGGCTGCTGGGTTTTGCAAAATGTTGTGAAGTTCCTGATGAACTGAAAATATGCTGGGATGAATATGTGCAAAGGATGTACAGGTCTCCTAATAACTTTGTTAAAAATTGTGTTTTGTGTTTTAGACCACAATGAACGTGGAACATGAAATTAGCCTCTTAGTTGAGGAGATTCGGCGGCTGGGGACCAAAAGTAAGCATTGTAATGTCTCTGATCACACAGATACACTCATGTTATACCTATGAACCTGGCAAATTTAACTAAATGGACTCAGATAATGTGTCATACATATGTTTAATATGGGATTGCATGGTATTCCCTATGACCCACATGTGTTTGGAGCAGAGAGCAAGCAGGCCTGAATTCCTGCCCCCGATAAAATCGACAGCCAAATTGCCTTCTAAGTCCCAAGATACTTGCTGCGACTGTCAAATAAACAGCACCATTACCTTTCACATCCTTCCATGGTAACTTCTGAATTTCACAAGTCACGTTCTTCAATTCATCACTGTTGGAAGGAATTCATCCATGTGTCTAAACTTCTAATCAGGAGGTATAGTCCCAGCCTTTGCTTGGATTTGCTTAGAATGTGGACTTCTCTTTTAAGATGGTTCTTCATTGTTAAAACTCGTTTTAACAATTCACAGTAAGTTTCTTTACAAGTATTTATCCAATTTGTGGGTGTGGGACCGGCTCATATATTTTAGTTCTGATACAGTTTCTTTTGTTTTGCAAAACATGATACACGCCTCTTGCATGTTTAAGAATAACTTATCTAACATTAGTATATATTTTAAAATTGTTGTTTAAACAAGAACTTTTTAACACTTTAAACATTCCAAAATATTTTGGTTCATTAAAACAATGTTATTCTTTATGCTTTGAAGAAGTAAAATAGCCTGGGTTAGTTGTAGGTTTCAGAAAGTCATCAATAAAAAATAAACATGACAGATACATAGACGCTGATGTGCGCCTAAGAAAAAGGATAAGTCTTAGCAAGCAGAACCTTTGTCTACTACTTTATCTCTGGCTTTCATAGCATGGTTCCCTTTATAAAGTTTAATCTCATGGAATTGATGTCAGACACCAGGTGCTGGTAGCTGGGAAACACCATGGGACTTACCTTCAGTACTCTGTATAACTTCTGTATCCTTGAGAATCTCTGAACTGAAGGAACATCTGCAAATGCTGTCATGTTTTGTCTTTGATTCAGATGCCGATGGACAAGTGAGCGTGAAATTTGGTGTGCTCTTCTCTGATGAAAAGTGTGCCAATCTCTTTGAAGCCCTAGTGGGAACTCTTAAGGCTGCAAAACGACGAAAGATTGTCACTTATCAAGGAGAGCTGCTTTTACAAGGTGTTCATGACAATGTTGATATCATGCTACTGCAAGACTGATGCAATGTGCATTTCAGCAGTGTTAATTGTATTGCTGGAGACGGTGACTTCCAACATCCACTGAATCAGACTGATCATTCTTATGTGTTTTGATGCATTTTCTATATCTTTATAGTTGAAAGGAAATTTTCCTATTTTGGAAAAACATTCCCTTTTGTAATTCTTCCTAAAACAGTACTGTACATGATCAAGGTAAAAAGATGCCAGTTCTTTTTATTTTTTATTTTTTATTTTATTTTTTTTTTTTAAATCTCAGGTAATACTTTTTAATGATGGTTATTTTCAACGTATGAAGAATGGAACTGGTATTTTAATGTTTACAAGTGAAAACGTGCCATGAAAGTAAAAAATAAAAGAACACACTTCAGTTTATATAATTCTTATTATTTGTTTCTCTCTCTTCTTATTTGCAAGTGGAAATGAAAGCAAACAATTTCTGTAAGCAGCATGGTTAAGTGACAGAAAGCATGGCGGTGAGATAGAAGTGATGTTACTGTGTGATGCAGTCAAAGAATGCCCATTCTTTGGAGCGGGGAACAGCAATGAAAGCATTCTAAGAGCTGGATACGTCAGTCTGTTGTGTACGTAGGGTCCTTCAGAGCAACTTTATAAGAATAAATCAAGCACCACTCTTGGAACAAGCAAAAACCAGTACAAATTTGCTTCTGTGTGGAGATCACAGTTTTACTTACCGCGTTGCTGAATCTTCTCAACAGAGTTTACTGTAACCACTGACCCTTCCTGTCCCTGTGATGCTTCTCCTCTTTGTGTAAGGAGGAGTGGCTGAAAATTCAGTGCTGCAGCAACTTCTCATTGCTTTTAGCTTCATCAGAGCAGCTATAATGAGGAATGCAGTTTTAGGGCAGCTGTAGAGCCTCTTCTGCTTGATGAGGGAAAGAGCACATAAATACATACTAAGCACGATCTGGTTTTCCAGCTAAAGTTTCTAAACTCACAGCTTTTTAATTGTAGCTTTTGCTACCGTCTTTTTTTTTTTTTTTTCATGGAACTCTAAGAGACAAAGTTTTAGCTTTCTCACATGTCAGAGCTTGTTCAGTAACCAAGTTGTGCACAGAAAACTATGGGTGATAGTGTACCTCATTCATCTCTGGCAGTGTAATACAGGGCTTTTTTGTGCCTTCCAGACTTGTGAAGGAGGTAGGTGAGAAGTTTCCTAAATTCTTTCATGCAGTGTTAGCCAGTAGTTACACAGAGATTCTTGGCTGTGATTATTTCCTTCACAGAAATCTTATGTTATCTAAGTCAGTCCAGGAGAGGGGGGAAAAGAAGCCATTTTAATTGTTTTCTAGCTTGCGGCAATTTCTTACAAGCATACAAAAATACTCCTTCAACTATAGAGAAGTTGTTGTTGCATAGGCCAAGCTAGCAGCATGCTCCTCCAAGCTGCCTATCCTCTGCTGAAAGATCTGTGAATTTCTTTAGTTGCTTTTTGTATGTGCAAAATGCTTGAAAAAACTTCATATTGCTTCCAAGTGCAGGGATTGCATGCATGGTTATGGATTCTCCATTAAGCTGTATAAGCCCAGCTGCTGTCCCTTTCATTTCTGTTTGTTCTGCTTTGTGCAACAGAAAAACAGTTGAGATCCTGTTTGCAAACAGATCTGCCGCTGCCTTTGCCTGCACTGGCCCCAGCATCTGGAGTGTGTGGGGAAACCGGAGCTGGCTGCGGTCAGAAGCAGCGCTGGCTGCCAGTATGGCTTGCTGGCCACAGCAGTTCTGTTTGCAGGGCTGTGTGTACAAGTGCATACACTGCTGTGCTCCACTGGTGGGAAGGGGAATAGAGGCCAGGCCCTCCCTGCATTTGGGAGGATGTCAGGCCTGCCAGATAACTGCAGTTGTTTTTTCATCTGCTTCTATTTTCCCAGAAGCCTGAGTCATTCTCTGGCTTCATGGGATGGGCAGAATATGCTGACAAAACTGAGTGATGTTTTGGGATGTGAATTTTGGCACGGAGAATTCTAGCCTGCCTTGAGACATAGTCTGTTCGCAGCACCTCTTTAAGCACTGAAGGGACCTTCGTCTTGAAAGCTGAGGTACCACTGGACTCAGGGCTTGGGGTTGGGCTGGAGCTGAGACAGGACTATAAGAAGATTTTGTGTCTCATTCTGGAGATTTTGTGTATCATTATTCTCTTAACAATGCTGATAAATGTTTTCAGTGCACCTGAGAACACATAGTAGCAAAAGACAGAGGAACTTGGCAGTGGAACAAACCTGGGACAACCTGAGGAGGCTGTGACTGTGTGCTGCCCAGGGGAGCTGAGACTCATGGTCCCTCTGTTTCTGAAAGCAAAAGAAGAGCAGTGTGAACAAGTTTCCAAGAGATTGCCCCCACTGCAGCATGCAGTGTGTTGAGATGTCTCCAGAGGGTTTCTTCAGGCTCTCTGTAAGCACTCGTGGCTTGATTTCTAATATTTCCAGGGAAAATTAAATGCTGAGATTGTTTCATGTGTGTGGGACTACACTTCGTGAGGGAAGTAATTTCTACAGTCAATGGCCTGGACGCAAGTTGTGGTTCCTGGAGCACTTGGCACGTTAATAGAAAAGCTAAGTATGGGAAAGCTATTACCTATTTTTATGAGCAATAGAAGGACCAGCAGTCCCTAGTGACAGGTGTGAGGGAAATCTGTAGGTCTTCCAGCAACACTAGAGGTCGTATGTATTAATGTTAGGAAATTAGTTTATAAGTGGTTTGACTAATTCAGTCTCCTATCTATGATAAGACCTGGGAGTGTGTTTAGATGTGCTTCTGGCAAGTATAGCTGGTAGAATTTAAGATTTTACTACTGTGTTTCTTGAGCAGGGACAGTTGGAATAACTGTGGAGTGTGTATGCTGATCTCAGCTGTTTCCATGCAAAATTCAGTGTCTGGACACAAACATGCCTTCCAAAGGAGTTTTGAGTAAGCTGTGGAGTGGTAACAACTTCAGCTGTCACAATTGTTTCTCATGTAAGCATAGTTTTTTGGGTTTTTTTTTGTTTTTTGCTGAGAATTTGAGCGAATGAAGGGTTGAAATGTATGCAATATTATATCTCCCACCCCTATTTCATGTTGGAATGAATGATGAAACTGCATGTTGTTTTTGCTTATTTCTCATCTCCCCCCTGAAGCTTTTCTGGAGGTGTTCTTTCCGCTTCAAGGGATTTCTCTCAGTGACAGCAATGCTGCTTTTGCCATTCAGATCTGTATAAAGCTGCTTGTCTTTGCTTAGTTTCTGTCACAAATAACACTTGAATGAAAGAAGAGTAGGAGGAGCAGGAAGTTCTTGCATGCAAAAAAAATGATTATATCACCACTGTTACTTACCAGTTGTATTTACACTCTTACTATGTTGGATGTTAAGAAGGCTGAGGATCTTTAATCTTCCAGCTGCAACAAGTAGCTGTTAAGCAAGCTTACACAGTTGCAGAGCCTTTTTTAAGCCAGTGCAGTGTGAACTGGTGAAAGCCACAGGCCTGGCAGTACCACTCAATATCAGAAGATCAACTAGTAATGATGTCTTTGTATCAGCTCTGTCTGGCATGAAAGAACAGTTCTAAGATTTAGGAATACACAGTGCAAAGTAAGACATGATTAGTGTTGCCTGAAAATCCTGTCTGATTTATATGATGTATGCCTGATGTGTAACAGGAATTGTGGTTTCAAGGACTCAAACAAACAAGCAAAACCTTCAACATGCCTTTCTTTTGGAAGCTGGCGAAGTCAGTAAGGTTGCAAAAGTGTGCATGTTCTTCTCAAGCAAGTATGGCATCAGGACTATTTTTTCTGTTTGAGTGTAATAAAGAAGTTCATCCCGGTGTCAGCTACGAAGGGTAGACCTAAATATGAACCAAAAAATTTGAGGGAAGTGAGCCTCTAGACCAAAAAAAGGGTTCTGATGTCTGTCAGCTATTTGGATCAGCATGTTATCTGTCCATTATGAAAATGAGTTTGATAACCCAGTGACATATTTAAGGCTGAATATCTCTCAGCACAAAAGTCAGTATGGCATAGTTTGTTTTGCAGCCCAAAAGATGATGATATATGCCAAAATACTCTCTCTGTTCTTGCTTTCCTACAGACCAATCATTTTATTTTTTTTAACTTTGGGAACTATCTTCTAAGCTGATGATAAAGACTCAAATTCACCCCTTTGGTGCATTATTGTATACTACAAAAAAAAACCCAAACAACTGCAAAGGCAAAGGAATAGTTTAGTACCCCCGAATACATAGAAAAAGGTTTGAATTCAAAACTGTTGATGTTGGAGATTACAATAAAACACAAAGGTATATCTTTGCTCAAAGATACAATACCTGTGCCAAACTAGATCCTCTATGGTTTGATTTTCAAGGCAAGTTATCTTTTGCATTTTGATCTGAAATGGCGTTCTCAAATAAAATCAGCAGCAGGCCAGAGTAGCTCCAGTACAATGATTTCAAAGAATTTGTATAGTCAGTACTTCCAAGTACTCCTTTATTTAATAAGGAGTTGTATGGGTTAGGTAAGGGAAAGGGTTTAACAGTGTCTCTATAAAGCCAGTGCATTTAAGATCTAGTTACGTAAACTACTCAATATGAAGTTGTTCTAATCAAGTTTTCCAGAGGGTGGCAGTTCAGTGTAGTTCTGCCTCTGAGTACAGCTTGAGCCCCAGATATAGAACAAATGCATATTTCAGTGGCTGAAGCTAGGTTCCTGGCAGATGTTTTGAATAAAGCACCAGAAAAAGTGTTATCTTGTGATATACTGCAAATGTCATTGCAGATGATGCTTATCTCTGCCAAAACACCTGAAGAACTTCAGGAGGTCAAGCACCAGGCTGGTATCCATTGAAGGAGCAGTGCCACCTGCACAGGCACCCCAGATTCTTGTCCTATAAGATCCTACATTCTTTCAGATAAACGCTTAGGATCAGACCCAAAAGTTTTCACAAACACCACAGCATTATGTTCATGATACTACTCCTTTTCAAAGCTCATTCCTATACAAACACTGTGTGCTGAAAGCTGTTTCTCCAGAGAGAACAATACTATATACCATATATCTGTAAATGCATATTATGCAAATATATTCGTACATGCATTCAAAAACTAAAGGGAAGCGCTCAGTATATATAGTTATATTTCAACATTGATATAGTGATCTGTATTTACTGACCTAAATCTACTGAATGGTACAGAAGATTACTTTACAGGAATTTAAATGACCTGGATGAAGGATTCAAATGTATACTAGGTAAGTTTGCAGATGACATTAAATTGAGGTGTTGACTGTCTCAAAGGTAGAGAGACCTTGAAGAGAGATCTTCACATACTGAAGGGCTGGACAGTCACCAGCCATATGAAGTTCAGTTTAACAAGAGCAAGTGCCAG